TTCGAAAGGAAAAACAGTTTTAGCATTCAAACTGGCGTCTTTTTTGAAGGAAGGCTTGTGTGCATATTTTGTTAAAAAGCGCTGCTGAAAATTGCCGTGAGTGGAACTAACAGTTAAACACGTAGGGAAAATATCTAACTCCTTGATCGAAAGGGAGGTGGTGCCTAAATCGTCCCACTGACGACTGCAAGGGTCTGACTGCAAATATTAAAATACAACTGTGCTAAACTGAGTAAAATATCCCACTATATTTCTATCAAACAGGAAAGTGACAGGAGGGACTTGCAAAATATGTAAAATATTTTTAAAAAATCAAAGGGATGCCCCCCTGAAGTACACATTATAATAGCCATATATGCAAACTATTAAACTCTGTGCAAAAGAACACAGTTTAGAAGATTCGGGGTATATTTTAGGCTAACGACCGACTTGAACTTAATAATGAGCCTAATTAACAATACCTATGAACCGTAAACTATATATACGCATATTGAATACCCTCAGGCATACTCGAGAAAATGACTAATTAACTGAAATGGCTGGTGCAATGGGAGTACAAATGTTTGTCATCTCTCTTACTCTTAAGTAGCCACTAGCAAGTAAATTGTCCAATATGGCTTCCAAAGGATAAATCTTTTAAGTTTGTCCTCAACATAACACCAAGTTCTATTTTCAAAATATACACATTTGTGTTCTCAATGACAAAAGGACGTGATGTGGGGCGGTCACCTGATGTGCGTCCTCGTTTTGCTAAGGGCACCAAGAGATCCCAGCAGAATTGTGTACCTTTTTAAAAATAAACTTATCCATGCAATTTTATTAATAAAAAACTAATCACCTTTGGCGACGGCATGACAGAGAAAGTGTTCATTATGCGATCGGGGAATTCCTCGCGCATTTTTGAGATGAGCAGTGTTCCCATGCCAGAGCCGGTGCCACCACCGAGCGAGTGGCACATTTGGAAGCCTTGGAGACAGTCACAGGATTCACACTCCTTTCGAACGACATCGAGGACTGAGTCGACCAGTTCCGCGCCCTCGGTATAGTGACCCTTGGCCCAATTGTTGCCGGCGCCACTCTGTCCAAAGACAAAGTTGTCCGGACGAAATAGTTGGCCAAAGGGCCCAGCACGCACGCTGTCCATGGTGCCGGGCTCGAGATCAACGAGGACAGACCGTGGAACGTACTTGCCACCACTGGCCTCACTGTAGTAGACACTGATTCGTTCCAACTGAAGATCGGAGTCCCCATGGTAGGTACCTGTGGGGTCCA